TAGATAGGAGAGGTGATTTCCAGAGGTTTGAGGAAAAATAGAAATGTCGAATGTTATAATTGTGGCAAACAATGTCACCTTAAAAGGGAATGTAGAGAAGGTGTTCCTAAGAACAGTTTTTTTCTAATAATAATCCATTCAGAACACCCCGCCCTTCTGGATTATGAGGAAGGTGTAGCAAAGGTCAGCACTAGACTAATGAATGTAGGTCAAGGAGGAATATTCAAGGTAATCCTTTGCCATTGGGAAGCTCCATGAGGGGCCTCTCACAGTCCCCAGTTCCAAATCTGGTTCAATTGTTTTCTGCCATCATAGAGGAAACTCCTTCCCAGAGTAATTAAAGAATCTAATGCCTATCATAACATCTATAGAAGATAGAATAAAAAATTCAGGAGAAACCATAAAGCAAGTATTTTGGCAAATTTCTATAAATGTACAAAGTCAAAATTAAAATAAGAATAAATGATGTTGTCATTGAATGTCTAGTAGACACAGGTGTAACTGTAACAATAGTTTCATCAGAATCTTGGAATCTAAAATGGCCTCTTCAGGATGTTAATGTTCAGTTTTTAGGGATCAGAATTTTATCTTGGGTAAAACAGAGGTCAAACATATAGGGCCAAAAGGACAGAGAAGAATGTTAAAACCATATGTGGTTAACATAGCAATAACTTTGTGGGGATGTGATTTGTTATAGCAATGGAATACTTAATGTTGTCCCAATATTAGAATTAATTAACATATGTTTCTTGGAAAAATATTACAAAATATTATAAAGAACAGTCACTGACCATTCAGGTTGTACAAGAACAGGGCAAGATAGCTGCTGATATTTCAAAGGCACCAACATTCCTGCCTTTAGAATGGTTGACAGAAAAACCTGTATGGGTTAAGCAATGGCCTTTGACAATAAATGGTAGACTTTAGAACAGCTGGTACATGAGCAATTAGATGCTCAGGAAACTGAAGAATCAAACAGCCCTTAGAATTCTTTTATGTTTGTTGTTTAAAAGAAATCCGGTAAAGGGAGAATGGTCACAGGTCTAAGAGCTATTAATAAGGTGACTCAACCAATCTACTCTCTACAATCATATAGAGATTTCATTTCTATATTAGCATAATCTTCCTCTCCAAGAAGTTAGTCTTTGGAGATTCCATACTTCTAGCACTATTTCATTTTTTAATGGTCTTAGTCTCATATTCCCACCAGGTCCTCCACTGTAATTGTAGACCAGACTTCAAAACTGATGTAACCAAGTCTCTCCAGTCTTGAGAGATAATTCTGTTATAAGTTGATCATGCTTTTAACATCCAATTCACAAAAGGTGAATGCATGCTGTATGAGACTATCACTTGCTTGAATATCCTTAAATCTAACGTTTCCACAGGCGTTCAGTGAACACTTAACTAGCCTCAGAGATATCTGTCATTTGCCAGTTCCTGTAAAAGAACTGGATATATTAAGATTGGTTGTTTGGAAACCTTAAGCTGTTCCTCTCTAATCTTACAATGAAACGCTGAAATTGCTTCTTTAAATTCCTCTGTCTGGATTTGAAATTTTCTATGATCTATTTTAATAACTTTTTCTAAGGCCTGAATCTTGGCACTCATATCAACCAACTTTCTCAGATACAAACCGAGAATTATCAAGATGATAATTAACATTATGTCAATCCCAGCTAAGTTGATTATCTCTTCACTTAATTGATTTAATTGTTCTGATTTTAAATCATGCATTGCATAATCATACAAAGACCTAACTTTCTCTATCATAATTATGTTTCCTATTTTTAATGTGGGGGAAAAAACTCTTTTTTAAAAAACTAATTCCCTCCTTTAAGAATTCCAAGTTGTTTCACCAAATCTGCTGACAGTAGCAATGAAGATGTGAGGCTGACCACTGTTACAGTGGACAGCAGAAGTCCAAGAGGTTTTCAAGGCAGCTACCTAGTTTGGCAGCAGCCCAAGAAGGGGGTCCAGGGAAAAATCCACCAGAGGAAAAGAAAGGAAACCTAGCCAGTGGGGCAGTGACACTTGTTGCATGTAGCTCTGGCCTATGCCAGTGACTTTAAAGCCACACATAAGTGGCTTTTTCCCCATGAATTTGTGCCCTAAAGCTAGACGCCAGATGTGGCAAGAATTCTAATTGGTCTTAATCATAAAAACCCAGAGTCAGATATAGGAAATAATGCTGAGATCAAAAAAGCAGAGCAGCCAGTCACCACTTCTTACTTCTACTGAATCATTACAGGTGATCCTGTCCCAACGAATCCTCAGACTGAATGCTGTCTTAGTAAAACGTCAGACTGACTGCTCAGACTGAATGCCCTGAGCTCCTGTCTCCTCCCACCTTATGTTCCTCTCTATGCCCAGCCATATCACTCCCATCTCCACCTCCCTGGTGCTAGGATTAGATGCATGTGATCTCAAACACTGGGATCACCTTTGTGTGAAATCTGTATCTTTTACACAGATTCAATAGCATGTAGCACAGGGCGGCCTTGAACTCGCAGAGATTCATCTGCCTCTGTCTCCTAAATGCTGGGATTAAAGGTGTGTGCCACCACTGCCTGGCTTCTATGGCTAACTAGTGGCTAAGCTCTGCACTTTGATATTCAGGCAAGCATTATTTGTTAGCTCAGAAACAAAATATCACTATGTCTAGTAGTACATGTTTTTATGAAAGTGAGTACATTTGTGCTTGGTGAGCCCTGCATTTAGAATTGTAACATCCTCTTGATGAATATTCCATTGCTTAGTGTTAAAAGACCCTGTTAATTCTATTCTGATGAGTTTTTTGTTCAAAGTCTGATTTTTTAATATTTATTTATTTATTATGTATACAATATTCTGTCTGTGTGTATGCCTGCAGGCCAGAAGAGGGCACCAGACCCCTTACAGATGGTTGTGAGCCACCATGTGGTTGCTGGGGATTGAACTCAGGACCTTTGGAAGAGCAGGCATGCTCTTAACCTCTGAGCCATCTCTCCAGACTCCTGATTTTTTTTAAAATCAGATATTAGATCAGCAATTCTTGACTGTCTCTTAGTTCCGCTTGTTTGGAATATCTTTTTATATTCTTTTACCCTAAGGTGATATCTGTCTTTGATGATGTGCTGTGTTTCTTAGAGGCACTAAAAGGAGACTACTTGATTTCTAATCCAATATGTGAGTTTGTTCATTTTTATCAGGGAATAGAGACCACTAATATTCAGTTGTTATTAAAAGATATATGTTAATTCCTGCCAGTCTGTTGATTTTGTGATATTTTCTTCATTCACATTTGCTTAAACTATTACAGCATTGTTCAGTCTTTTTCCTGTAGCATCTTGAAATGCTACAAAAACATCGTTAAATACATTTACTCTTCTCTCAAGATTGAAGTACTCCTTAATTCTTTATAGTGCTGACTTGGTAGTCATGAATCCACCTAGCCTGAATTTGTTCTCAAAAGTTTTGTTTTGTCTTCAATTATGACTAATACTTCTGGGCATCATATGCAGCTGTGGCTTTCAGAATTTGAAATATCTCTTGTAATATATCCATTTCCTCTTTGGGATCTTTGAACATGTTATAATCATTATTTTGAATTCTTTGTCTGGAATTTTGTCCGAGTCCCTCTCATTGGAGGCCATACTTATAGAATTGTTTTTTCAAGAATGTATGTTGTCCTGGTTTTTAAGGATATTTTGTTTATGTACTAGAACCTTTATATCTGGTGTTAAGTTGATGTTTGAAGGTGTTTTTTATTTATTTGGGTGATCTTTCTTTTTTAAAAAATTGTTTTTCTTGAGCTATGTTTTGTCTTTGCTCCCTCCCTTCTTTTCTCCTCCCCTTCTATCCTCTCACAAGGTCCCCATGCTCCCAATTTACTCAGAAGTTCTTGTCTTTTTCTACTTCCCATGTAGATTAGATCCATCTAAAATTAGTGTTGCTGTTAAATTCTAATTTTAAGCCATGGTGATCCAATAAGACACATGGGGTTGTTCCAATATTTTTGTATCTGTGGAGGTTTGCTTTGTTACTTAGTATGTGGTCAATTTTTGAGAAGGTCCCATGAGGTGCTGAGAATGTATATTCTTTTCTGTTTGGATGGAATGTTCTATAGATGTCTCTTAAGTCCATTTGAGTCATAACATCTGTTAGTTCCCTTATTTCTCTGTTCATTTTTTGTCTGACAGAACTTTCCAGTGGTAAGAGTGGGGTGTAGAAGTCTCCCACTATTAGTGTGCAGGGTTCAATGTGTGGTTTAAGCTTTAGTAGTGTTTCTTTTACATATGAGGGTTCCCCTGTATTTGGGGCATAGATATTCAGTATCGAGATTTCCTCTTGATGGATTTATCCTGTGGCTAACATGAAATGTCCTTTTTTGTCTCTTTTGATTGATTTTAGTTTGAAGTCTATTTTGTTAGATGTTAGGATAGCTACACCAGCTTTTTTCTTAGGTCCATTTGATTGGTATATTTTTTCCCAAACCTTTACTCTGAGATGATGTCTGCCTTTGAGGTTGAGATGTGTTTCTTGTATGCAGAAGAAGGATGGATTCTGTTTTCATATCTAATCTGTTAGCCTGTGCCTTTTTATAGGTGAGTTGAGTCCATTTATATTAAGGACCCGTGACTGCTATCTCCTGTTAATTTAGTTTTCATTGTTGGTGGTGTTAATTTGTGCGTTTTCCCCTTCTTTGGGATTTGCTGCTATGAGACCATCAATTGTCTGTGTTTTTGCTGGTGTAGCCAACTTCCTTGGGTTGGAGTTTTCCTTCTAGTACTTTGTGTAGGGTTGGGTTTGTGGCTAGGTATTGGTTAAATCTGGTTCTGTCATGGAATATCTTGTTTTGTCTGTCTATGGTGATTAAAAGTTTTGCTAGGTATAGTAGTCTGGGCTGGCATTCGTGGTCTCTTACTGTCTGTATAATGCTTGACCAGGACCTTCTGACTTTCATTGTTTCCAATGAGAAGTCAGGTATAATTCTGCTAGGTCTGCCTTTATATGTTAAAAAAAATATGGACCACTTTACAAATTTATGTGTCATCCTTGCACAGGGACCATGCTAATATTCTCTGTATCACTCTAATTTTAGTATATGTGCTGCCGAAGTGAGCACTTAAGTCATCTTTCAATGGAGGTGTTGGCAGTGTTCAGTTGGAAAGTGTTGTAGTATGGCTGAAGTATCATTTTACTTTATTAGACTAGTGTTCTGATTGTACTAGTTAGGGTTTCAATTGTTGTGAAGAGACACCACTACCACAGCATCTTTTATAAAGAAAAACATTTAATATGGATGGTTTACATTTTTCGGAGGTTTAGTCCATTATCATCATTTGGCTGTAACAGAAGTGTTTATGTGCTGCATGCTCATTCTCGGCATTTGACTGCTGAGCACGGCTCCTGCCTGGTGGCCCCAGAGCTAGCAGAAATGGTACAACTACCATTTTGAAATTGGAGAGAGGTGGAGCCAACATCCAGAGCAGCTGCAACCAAGCTGCTTAGCATTTTAAAAGCTCTTCAAGACAGTAGAAAATTACAGATTTACAATAGGACAGATTCAGATATAAAAGACCTCTAAATGGGTCACAATGTTGGATAAATGTACGGAGACTTGGGAGAGAGAAAAAAAGGAGTATAAAGAGTCATAAAATAAAGTTAATGCATCACCTTTCACGATAGCCACAAATAGCATAAAATATCTTGGGGTAACTCGAACCAAGGAAGTGAAAGATCTATTTGACAAGAACTTTAAGGCAT